GAGGCGTACACGGGGAGCTATACCCTAAATCCTTATAATTTCCAGCATTTTGATACTGAATTTATGAGTTTATACGTAGACGGTCAATCCTACCCATCTAAGCCTTTTCAACCATTGTTTAATAGAGGGCAGTATGTACGTGAATATTACCAGCTGGTGCAGACAACGGGCCGTCATTTAAAAGACAGGTCTCTTGCGATAGATCGAGACGATTTTGCAGATGGTTACACTCTGTTCTGTTTTAATTTAGAGGCTGATGAAGGCCATGGTGGTAATATCTCACTAGTTAAATCCGGTAACGTACGTTTAGAAGCTAGGTTTAGGACACCGCTAGCACGTACCGTTAATTTGATCTGCTATGCAGTTTTTGATTCCATTATTGAGATTTCAAACAGAAGGCAAGTGCTTTTAGACTATTATTAGATGCCGTACTAATGAATACTATAGAGTTAACGAGCATCATGAAGCTGTGTGTCAAAAAAGCCACGGGTTTCCTAGGTGTTTTCCCATCAGACCGTTTACCCAGTGTCATAAAACGTTATCCAGCGTGTGCCATCATTAACACTCACCCATCCGCCCTTCCTGGAGAACACTGGGTAGCGGCCTACTTTTCTAAAGATAGGTGCGGATACTTCTTTGACAGCTTCGGCAACGGACCAGCTTATAAAAGTTTTCCAAATAGTATTAATAGATTTATGAGGGAGAATAGTGAAGGTTTTTACCATTCCATAAAACAGGTACAGAGTCATCTTTCTGTAACATGTGGACAACATTGTGTATTTTTTCTATGCCACATGTTAAAAGGTTCAAGTTATAAAGAGTTTATCCGTGTGTATGATTCCAACTTGGCTTGTAACGATTCCTTGGTATGTCATTTTGTTAATGCTATACAACCTGTGGCCATATGTAGTGAAACTGATTTCGACTGTGTACAATGTGTAGTGCATAATAAAAATCATTGAGAATTTAAGTATAATCTTTTATTTTCCATGCAGAATGATAATAAGTGATACATTACGTAATACAGAATGATAAACACATAATAAGTGATACATTTGTCATACAGAATGATAAACACACGTGAAAACATTTCAATCATAAAGATTTAAAAACTTAACCAACTTGCTCCACTCTTGGTGACTAAAGGAGTGGTGAATTTACGTGATCTTTTACGTTTAGCACTAACTAAGGGCGTCCCATAAACATCAGAAGGAGGGATATTTTTAAACTCATTAATAGTTCTACGAACCATAGTGTTAGGAATGACAGATTGGGGAATATTCATTTCGGCTAGTGTTTTTAAAAACAAAGACCATCCAATAGGTCTTGAAATTTCTAGTATATTATGACTAGCTGTGACATTCTTAATGAGGTCATAAACATGAGAGCCCTTTACAACACTACCGTTAATCACAACTTCACCATCTCCATTCCAAGTAACCACCCGTGGTGTCTTTGACAACATCTCCAATATTAACTTGGCGTTTTTATGACTATTTCGTGGAATATGTCTCATAACCTCTGCTGCTTTTCACGTCTGTGTTAACCACTGGTTCTTCAGTTGAGATGGGCATGTTTAATGTTAAAACAGATTTTTCACTCTCCTCTTTTCTCACCAGTGTAAGAAAACGCTGTAGAATGTGCGCATAGTGTTTAGCTTTTTCATGGGGGTTCATAGTGATATTATTCAAAATATCGAGCATTTCTTTGTCCAACTCTGTCTGCACCCTGTGCGTGATGGATTTTTCAGGACCCTGCTGCGTTAGTTTATCCAGCTGCTGTTGCGGCACCAAATACACTTTTTCCGTATATTCCATGTTAACGACTGGTGATGAGGCTCGTTATAAACGGTATAGCAGCTCCCAAAAGCGGTAGTAGAAATCCACCTTGCTGATTCAAGGCTTTTCTCTTCTTTAAAACGTTTAACTTTTTGTTACTGATAACTCTAATAACTTTTTTTTTTTTCTCAAGTTGTTTATACTGTTTCGTAGTCAGAGGTATGTTACCACTGAGCACGTTAATGGCTAGCTCTGACAGGGTGTTAATAAGGTCCGGACTCGCTTTAGTCAGAATAACCTTCCTCATTTTGGGCGAAGCCTTATATAACAACTGTAGCAAAGATAAATTTCGTACCACACGTGCCGACATAATTACTTTTTCCCCTTTTTAGGTATATACACAACTACTTTTTCGGAAAGCAGACTCGTTCTGAGTCTAAAGTGATCAGGCGTTTTAGTTTTATAATCGATTAAAAGATACCCGTAGGGTCTGTTTGTAGCGTCATTAAAAGCCTCTAGAAAAAATTTGGATTTGTTAGGAAACATTTGTTTACCTAGTAGAGATATTTGGAATCTGTCCCGGGGGTTATTAAAAAGTATTAGATAGTTTGTGTTTAAACTAATTGTGCGACTGCTTTTACCCTGCACAAACAAATTTTGGACCATATAAATACAACTCAGATTTCTATGATGGACATATTTGGTGAATACATTTTGCACTTCCAAATTGTTTGAAGCATCGTTCATCAAGTCGTCGATTATAAGTAGATTGTTTTTGCTCGGCGGTAACAATGTGTCATCTGCTAAAGATTCTGGGAGGTCTTTGATGAAGTTGACATTACGTATTTTTAGAATATCGTCATAGAGCGGTTGCCAACATGAATATATGTAGACAATGTTTTCAATTTTGTGGGATATTAAAGCGTCAGCATTTTCAATAATGTCTTTAACAAAATATGTCTTGCCACAATTTGAAGGCCCACTAATAACAGAGCTAAAAGGATGCTGGAGCCTCGAGTCAAAAAGCTCTGATTTAAAATCCATAGGGTTTTGTAGAGTAGTCATCGAGCAAACGACGTTTGTCGTATGTCACACGCAGTTTTTTAACAAGTGACCTGTTTTTGAGGTGAAAGCGTGTCTTATCTCTGGTAATCGTGTCAGATACTGTTATCAGATGTTCATCCGTCTCTCGATTAGCCATGAATTTATCTAACAAGTCTTTTAGAGAGTCGTGTGTCACGGTCTCCACATTTGCACTCCTCAAAGTCACACCTTTGCATTTGACTTGTTTGTCCCCTAGGGCCGTCTTGTACGCATACGATTTAGGCCCTGTTGAGACAAATTCAGTAATGCTGTCTCCATTGCCGAGCTCATCGGTCAAATCACCTAGGAACCCCCCTGTGGGTGGGATCCACTCACCACTTTTAGCTGTGAATATGACAGAGTCTGTATCACAATATAGCACTCTGTCTTGAAGCTTGTCCAGAAGTTCATATAACATGAGCCTTCCGTAGGATGTTGTCATGGCCCCGATGAAAATGTTACAATCTTTCGCATGCGACTGAACCCCATTAGCATAGCGCCATTGTACTATAGCCAATGCATTGGAAATGAAGTGGAATTGGGTGACTTCAAAATGATCAGAAAACATGAGTTGCATAAAACGCGCAGGATCTGTCACCATCTCTGTATGCCCAAGATTTGAACGTTGACAGAATTTACCCCACAAATTAGTCAGTAACAATTTGCTACAGCTCCGTCGCGTCTTATTAGGTTTGATGTTATGACGATCCAGTAAAATACCTTCACGTTCGTGATATTCATCAATGTATTTCTCCTCATCCTCGGGTGTTTTCACATGATCAGGATAGCCACTGGCTTCCTGTTTGCTTTTCAAAAACTTTTTGACATAGCCTTTAAACAGTTGATCTGATTTTTCAGCAAAATGCCACACTTCGTGAATTTTCTGTACAATGTAACCTTTTTCCACAGCTTTTAACACTTCGGAAATAGGCCATGTCCCTGTGAATTCTCGTTCTGTGCTAGTGTGATCACACTCGGTCATTTGATTCAATTCTGTGGCGCATGTTTTACATAGGATGAAAAACAGTTTGTCATGCATTTTATGGGGTAACACAGGATGTAACAGTCCTCTAGGCGGCAATACTACGCATTTTACAAATCCGAAATATGC